AGAGAGAGAGAGAGAGAGAGAGAGAGAGAGAGAGAGAGAGAGAGAGAGAGAGAGAGAGAGAGAGAGAGAGAGAGAGAGAGAGGCAAAGAAAAGCGAGGGTCTGGACAGAAAAAGGGCTTCCACATGGAAAGAGGGACAAGAGCTGTTTCTTCAGAAAACTATCTTCAGGTACTTCTTAACTGTTATAAGGCCTTGCTGCACCACTCACCAAATCTGCAAAAGACAGAAAAAAGGTGGGTGTATCTCTCCATGTTCTTCCGGGAGACGCATTCTCATTTTGCAAATTTGGTGAGTGGTGTGGCCATGCCCATTTTCATTATCATAATGATAAAAAGGGAAGGAAGGCAACGCGGAGGGGCCCTCAAAGGACACAGGTAAATAGTAATAAATGGTAAATACCGGAAGTCCTGCGCATCCAACAATGCCGGTCACCACAGTGACTGCCTCTGGATGAGCTGCAACCTGATTTCCAACCACAAGCAGACAATAACAAGTCAGACTCTCAGAGCTTCATAACAGATGTTCTTTTCTGAACCTTTATTTACCTCCCCCCCCCCTGAATGTAGACAGTATGAATAATAATTTGTCAACTCACTGAAATGATGTGAAATCAGCAAATCAGGGCGTGAGGTCCCAGTTATCCAGATTTTTCATTTCTAGCGATCCAAACGTTAACCTCGATGACCTATGAGGTGACCCGCCCGACCGGGCCCGGTGATATGATAGATATCATATCATATATACCCCTTATTACGGGATTTGAGCCTGTGACTTCGCCACGAAAAAGCGATGTCCTATACCCGTAGATGAACGGGGCGAATGAATGTGCTTGTAGCTCAATTGGGTAGAGCACCAAACGACGGATTTGGGGGTTGGTTACAGTATACGCCTGATAAGTGTAAAGTCGGCAGTTCAGATCACCGGGATAGAGGAGATGCATCGTGATTTTTTTTTAATTTATTTTATTTTTATTTTTTTGAAAAATTTGGACCATTTCTCAATTTATGCGTGTCATCCTTGCGCAGGGGCCATGCTAATCTTCTCTGTATCGTTCCAATTTTAACGGATGTCCCGAGGGACGAGATGCATCGTGATGTTAAAAAAGCAAAAAACCAAAAAAAGATCTTCAGAATCTCCATTCACGAAAACAAAAAAGAGTCCAGACAAATAGGGGACATGGTCCCATCGCGGCTGATATATACAGCCCACAGCTGCAAGTGTTCCTCCCGACTCCCCAAAGGCATGAGTGAAACGGTATTCACCAATTCGTGGTAGCTGAGGCAGATCCCAGGGCTCGATCCCTAGTTCCCCAACTTACCTGTGTACAATACCTGCGTCAACTCGAAGAGTTGAACCTGCGACCTGTAGAACCGCCAGTGGTAGGTAGGTCTGTCGTAGGTCTATAGGTAGCCAGGATTCGATCCGTAGACCTGTAGATTAGAAGGCTAGCTGCAGTCCTTCTAAAAGGTTGGCAAGTGGTCAAGTGGTGCAGTCAAGTGGGCAAGTGGTGTGACTAAAGCAAGCCCATGTTGGAGACGAGGACAAGTGGCAAGGGCAAATAGTAGGACCCCAGTGCAACTGCACTGCGTCATAGGGTAGTTGCCATGCAGTCATGGGAGAGTCTAGAAAGTACCAGTCCGGTCCAGCAAGTACCACGGGGGGGACTGTGTGCACCATGGGCCAGGGATACAGGGCAGACCAACGCAGCGCAGAAGTATAAATCAAGAGGCTGCGTCCAGCCATTCATTCATTCCTGCGGATGCCATGCGGAAGCGCTGCCTTAGCAGCTTGTGCGAGGAGGTCTGCAGTGTGCCCGAAGACGAAGTGGGCAGAGAAGTGTAGTGTAGCGATAGGTAGTGGCAGCTAGCGCTGCCATAGCTGTAGCATAGCGTGTGTGTGTGTTGCGTATGATACTGAGTGTTGCGTGTGGGACATCCAGGGTGATCCAGAGGCGAACAGTGAGTTGTGTGGGCGCCCAGTCGCCATAGCCAGTTGAAGAGAACTCGTATCTGGTTACGATATCTTAAGTACTGTCAGGGCGCATGTCGCCAGTTGCTGTATCGCTGTTTGCATGCAAGACAAGTGTGAATAATCGGAGTGTGAATGCACTGGTATCGGAGCAGGTACCCGCTGTTCCATGCGCGCGATGYGTGCAGGGCCGATCGGCCATAGCTGAAGTGCCGCCGGAGGAGGTAGTCCGCCATAGCGGACCTCGAGGTGGAAGGAGAAGCCGCGCACCTGCAACAAGGAGACCACAAGAGAGAGAGATGAGTGATACAAGATTGGTTACTTACCTGCTGCGCTGAAGATACCGCTACGGCGGAAGAGAGAGAGAGAGAGAGAGAGAGAGAGAGAGAGAGAGAGAGAGATGAGCGATCCAAGATTGGTTGTCACTTACCCGTGAGCCGAGC